CCCCCCCCCCCCCCCCCTTCCCCACCCGTCACCCCTCTCGCCGCCATGTTCCCCTGCCCCCGCACCTCCGCCGGAACGGTAGTTGGCCGCTGCTCCGCGGTAATCGGTAACTGAGAGGCACCACCACAAGAAAACAGGGAAGTGGGTAACGCAAGTTGTGCTTAGAGGGGACGGGGGCAACACTGAAGGGTACGGGGGGGGGGGGGGGGGGGNTCCCCTAGTCTGTCTATCCTAACGATATCCCTTCCCGCCTTTTCAACCCATCTCCTATGCCCCAGTACAGCTACCGTCCTTTCTTCTCTATTCCATGCCTCAAACATCTCCCTGTACGTTCCATCTATTTTTGCCAGCTCAGTCATGTACACTTGCCTCTCCTTCTTGTACCACTGACACGGGGGGGGGGCTCATGTGAATGCATGCCGTATTCGGTGCAGTAAGCCATAGATTTCGCATCCACACAATGCTGGGGAGGAACGATATGCCAGAGGGAAGGGGTAACACGCGTGCTGTTGAGATGGCACGATGGTACGTGAGTACGCTAACGGAGGCTTGACCTGACACACAAGGGCGCGCGCCAAAAAAACGGGAGCCAAAGCGAATATGTGCTGCTGAAAGTTCAATGGAATTTCGAAATTTCCACTCAGGGTTAATGAGAAACTAAAGCAGCAAAGCAAACTCGCCGCCCCAAAACGCATTCCAACATACGCACAATCAGCAACCACGAGAGCACATTGATATTTTCAGTTGCTACCATCTCCGTCTTTAATGCGGAGAGTAGCTTAGCCTGCCCCATGACACAGGGACCAGCGTTTAGAAGCATTCTTGTGTTTTAGGCAGCGCTCAGGCTGTCGTCTTTTCATTCTGCAGCCGGTAAGCGTGGTCGACACTAGTACTAAACACAAACAGACTCAACCCGGATAGATGTTATCGTTCGACATCCGCCAAAGTCCGCCTGTGAGGGGGCTCCGCTGAATCGACACCGTGTTCCGGAAACTGTGGCAACCCCCGAAACAAGGCGGGCTTACATTCCCGAAAAGGTCGGCAGGTTTGTTTGCACGGTCGATTGCTAACAACAAAAGAAGAACGTGCAACACACGCCACCCGAACGGCGCACGCTGCCAAGAACAAAACAAAATGATCCTCCAGTCGGCAACGGTCGCGGGGAGGCATGCATACCTGGGGGTGGAGGGGGTGCCGGCTTTTTCCTCGCCTGCGCCTTCGGCCTGAACTTTGGCTTGGCCCTCTCGCTGAAACACGGAGAGAGAGAGAGAGAGAGAGAGAGAGAGAGAGAGAGAGAGAGAGAGAGATTGTTGGGGAGATGTACAGCGCCAAGTTTCGGAATCAGTACCGCTCTGTGTGGCGTGCTTCCCCGGTGCGAAAAAAGCCGACAACAATACATGCGGCTCTGCTCCCCGGTTTTCTTGTCGGCCGTGGTCATGGTGGTTATCGCGGCGGCGGCGGTGGTGCCTCCGACGCCGACGCCGCACCAGCTTGAGCAATGAATCTTATTAAATTTCGAGGAAATCGTTCACGTCTGATCGGCACCCTTGGTTCCGTGTTGATCACAAGCTTGAGTCGTTTTCTGCTACATGAGGTGGTGTGTGTCCGTCTCCAGTGGACAATCCCTGAAATTCATGTTGTACATACGAGTCTGCTGGGGAGGCTCGGGAGCGCGTCTTTGCGCGGGCTGCTGCGGCGCCTCGTCAACAACAGCAATACATGTAGTATGATACCGACAGAGGTGGAAAGATGGCACGCCCCCCCAGACCAACCAGTCTGTCAATCCTCGATTGCTCTACAACCAAGCAAGTTGGTGTGAAAAGGACCCGACACCTCTGCGGAAAGCCGTCGAGGAGATGCCTCCAACACCACCATTATTAGTGTTGGCACAAGCTCGCTTGTGGAGGGATCGAGCGATGATCATCGGTCTAGGGAGGGTGCTACCTATCTACCTCTACGGTATCACGAGCATGAGATGGGTCGCACATCATGTACAGCAGCAGTTTTCCTCCACCTGCTGTCTGTCAAGAGGGTCGGATGGCACATGTCAAGTGTTTCTCCGCACCACGCACCACGGGAGAGGGTCGCTGACGCCGAATGATAACCATGCGATCATGGTTCGGCAGAACAACTCGCTCGTTATTGGATGTGGTTTGCGCGACACCATTACGGACATCAGAAGGTACCGAGCGGAACCGGAACGGTTATCTGATGTGAAGACAACGACAGGAGGTGGTGGTATCCCACGTCATAGGTAATAGTAGCTCAAGACAGCAAACCCATGCAATAGGCTATGATATCATAATAAAGTATAGCGAGCGAAATCATAATTCACCAACCGCAGCAGCACAAGCCCATCAGCAAACGCAGCACAATTGCAATTTACTAAAGTAGCAGCAGTATAGCAGCAGTGCGATCACAGTTTTGAATGCTCAGTGAACAAGTGGCGCACTTGCCAAAGACGCACCACCGCTGCCGCCGTTTGCGGTGGTAAGAAAGTGACATCCTTATCCTCTCAGCTACTGGTGTACGTGGCATCTCTACACTTGGCGACTACCGCGGAAAGAAACGCAGCAGGGAATTATCATCCATGGCCCACACCGCATACAGCAGGCGGTAGTAGCAGGCGTGTACATGGCAGAGCTGAGCAGACCCGCAAGAGAGGGGGGGGTGGTAACATGTGTACCACCACCCGCCGTCGCAGCCCATGTGCATCATCCGTCCCAGAGCCAACCACAAGCACGGAGAGATCCTGCATGTTGCCCACCTTCCCTTTCCGTCTCCGGGTTTCATCGCTGCCGAGCCTCCAAGGCGTTATACTCCAATCAATGCTCTTGTGCAGACTTGCGCTGGGATTGTTGAGCATGCAAACAAAGTAGGGGGCGCCGCAAACCGGCGACTTCGAGTGATCTACGGAGATCGCACTCACGGCATCTACGATCTACTTGCATACAGCAGGAGCTGCGGAGATCAGGCCCCGACCAGAAGGATCCGCCAGGCCAGTTTGCGCACCAGGGACGACAGCAGCAGTCGGTTGTGAGTGCCGGTCATTTCCTCTGCGACGTTCTTGATCTCGCCAGCCGAAGCCAAACACGCGAAAGCCTCTGCTCTGCACGGCCACCCTAATGCTCTCGGAGCCTCTCCGATCGGAAAGGAGACTGAAGAAGTCGGTCGGGCTGCTACAGCAGTAGTCGGCCTCGGGGAAAGAGCCGTTTCCCGTTTACCATCCCCACCGCCTGCTGCTGCTGAGGTACCGCTGCTGCTGTACAGCTACCGGGGTACACGCAGATACTCCGGGGACGGTAGCGGCAGCGAGCGGCGCTCTCCATCTCCCCGAGTTCAGGCAAGCGGGGCGCACGACAGAAAACACACAGGCAATAGCGCTGCTGCTGTAGTGGCGACAGCAGCAATCAGCGGTCGATCGATACCTCGGCACATCGCCATGGCGGCGCCCTTGGTGGCCGGCAACCCGCCCAAGTGCCGCGCCCACCCCCACTGCACCAGGACTTCCCGCTTCGCATTCCCGGGACCTAGGGGGACGGCTCCTGCCAGGACGGGCACTTGGTCATGCGCTCGGCATCGTCTAGACGGCATGGCCAGAGTCTACGCCTACGCCGGCGGCGGTGGCGCGGAGCACCAGGAAGTCAAGCCGGAACCGGAAGCGGTGGAGCCGGCAGCAGCAAGGCGGGGCGCCGCGCGGCGAGTCCGCCGGTACAAGGCTTGGGGGTGTGTGCCGAAGAAGAAAGCGGCAACTGGGAAGACCACGACGACCGCGACGGTCGGATTTTTTGAGTTAGAGCCAACAGGGCAGCGGTCCAGTAGCAGTACCAACCATCGTGAGCCGCATGCGGTACGGGTAGCAGCCACCGCGGAAGGCGTGGGAGAGCGAGCAGCCTCGCGGAAGGTGGGGCTTCTTCCGGCGATCCGCCGAAGCAGTAAATTAGCTCGATCGCCAAGCGACGGCGGCGGCAGCGAGATGGCTGATACCCATGAACAGGCACACGCTGACGAATCGAACGTGATGCGCTGCGGTTTAACTAGTAGCGGGAGGCGGGACGACTCCGAGGCAGATCCGCGTGGCGAAGAAGAGCGGGGGGCAGCAGCAGCCGATCACGCCCAGGACCTTTCCACGCGGAAAGGGGGGGCGAAGCTTGAGGTGGCCGGTATTAGGACGGATGATGATGGCACCGGCGTCCAAAGACGGCCGAGCGCCCGACGCAAGGCTACCGATGACCTCGCCCGAAACGCCTCCTGCGGGTTTCCACGGAGCTCGAGCGACGTTTGCTCGAAGCACCGAAGAACGCCCCGCTTGAACCCCGACCGCCAGAGACTCCTTCCTAACCGGACTTTCGGGGCTGCTCGTGCGGTAGAGGCAATGGGAGGAGACAACAGCGGCGGCGGCGGCGGCGGCGGCCGCGTTTCGAGGGATCGCGTTCTGGGCAAGCGTTGTGCTGGCGTCCGGCTTGCCTTGAAGGGAGCGGTAGACGACAGGGAACTACGGCCCGCTCGGAAGAAGGCCAAAAGGGCAGACGTTGGTACCAGTGGCGACGTCGATGGCGGCGGCGGTGGCTGGGTTGGTTGTGGTCAACCTGAGTCAGAGAAGGAAGTCAACGTGCTCGGGGTGCCAAATCCAGGCGGCCGGGGAGAGGGCGGAGCCGATGAGCACGGCGAATGGAGGTTTCCAACGGTGGTGTTTGACGGGGAATGCTTTCAAGGTAAGAGGGCACACATTTGCCTGGATTGTTTTGGTTTTCTTGCCTCAATACTTGTCGAGGTGGGTGCTGTATCTGTACCAAATATTTATGTGACTGCTTGCTCTGTACCTCGTCATAGTGAAAGTGCACAGCATGTTTGTTGCTTGCCTCTCATGGTCATTTGGATACTCCTACACGAGGACTTTGGAATCCATCCGTTTAGCGACGAACGATCCACGCCGTCTTCTTGGTCCTGTATGTAGTGTGCCGTACCAGGTATTTTTGGTGTTTGATTCTTGTCCATGTGCTGCCGATATCGTCGCTTGCTCGTGGCGTACTCTGGCGCATGCTGCTACTGCAGAGGCGGCGGCACTTTGGTGCCACCAGGACTCGCCAGATACGCTGGAGATGCCCACCAAACCGCCGGTCAGTTCGTGGGCGTGTCATCAACATGAGTATCAGATACTGGGGGTGGGAAAAGCAGCGCTAACTAATTAGCGGACCTCTAGCTAACCCCCCCACAAAATACCATGATCGAAACGCTTTCAGGTGTAGTATTAGTAGTTGGTTGGTCGGCACCTTTCCACACCCTGTGTAACTGTATGTGGACTATTCTTGCGATCATTGCTCATTTTCTCCCGCCGCTCTTCCACGCCAGGCTCCCGCGGTCGCGGTGAAGCCGGAACGTGCACCAGCAAACGCGAGCGTGCTGCGAGCATTCGATCACCGGTCGACAAGCCGAGATGATACTCGATGCGTCACCACAGCTGCTAGCCGAACCCCGAGTTGTCCCTCGGGCGACGGAGGCGGCGACATGGCCGGCTCCGTCGACGTTAAGCCGGACCTCAGGGCGCTTCGCCGAGCTGAGAGGCAGCAACGGCGGTCGCGGCAGCAACAGCAGCAGCAGCAGCAGCAGCAGGTAGGCGAAGAAAGCCAGCGGGGGAAGAGGAGAGCGGCAACGGCTGAGGGGGAGCGGAGCGAGCGGCTGGAGAGAGCCACAGCGGATAATGGGGGTGCGGACGGAGTTCTCGGCGCAGAGGCAGGCCTCCGAGACAGAGGCCATGATCCGAAGCGGTGAGCTGAGAGTTGGTTTATGAAGAAGCCATAAATATTTCCCTTGTTGTGCTCGTGCTGGTGGCACACTGGCATTTGGCATTATTATGTTTTCATCCCAGAGCACCTCGAACAGCAATGTCGGATTCCTAAAGAGGAAGTGCTGAACACGGTTACAAAACATATGTCTGGCTGGCTGAAAGTTCACAGCTGACAAACGTTTCTCGCCTTTGAGCCCCTACACCCTTGTTGGCATACCCCCCACTCACACTCAAGCCTCACAAGAACCAAGGGCAGAAACTCATTCATTAGGAGTCGCTAGATACGAGCATCGGTATTTACTTTCTTCCCGGAGTGATTTCCCGACAAAGGTTCGCGTACGTCTTTCACTGAATGGGAGAGCTCCGACACAGGTCTTGTAGCATGCACGGTATTTTTTATCCAATCTTGTAGAAAGGTCTGCGAGGGGCGGTGGTTCTTGACGGTACTGCTGTTCGTCGAATCGTCTCCCCCGGGGTGAACGAGGTCTTGTGAGAGAAAAACGGGGCAGCGTTCGGACTCTACGGAAATCTCGCTTTCAAAACAACAAAAAAACGCGCCACCTCCGTTCGAACGCACGTGAACTTCGGTGGCTCGCCCCGAACGAACGAGTTTCCTGCGCGCCGGCGTGCGGCTCCGACTCATCCCTCCCTGTCAGCAAATCATCACATCAGTCCCGATTCTTCGTAGATGGGGCCGACACCCCTGCTTGATTTGAGGAAGGTAGCAGTAGCCTTCCGAGTCTTTCGATTAAGTAAACATGTTGGGTAAAGCATGAAATCGAGGAAGCTGGGGGTTGGGTTAGGGATAGGGTCTGCGTACCCCGTCCGTGTTATATTTTGCCATAAACTTATCTTCTTTCGAAGGCGGTCTCAGAAGTTGTCAGTGTTGTAGACCTACACGACCCCGCCACGAGGCAGGCGCCAAGGCAAAAGCGTAATCGTTGGAAAAACCGGGCTGTACGTTCAACGACCACCGAGTTTCAACCGTAATGATCGTCGACCTCACGTTAAAGTTTGCGATCAATATTTTCCTCCCCCGTGTCCGCCCCAATTGACGCGGCGAAAAATTTTACTGATAAGTGGAGATTGTCTGCCAACGTTCAGAAGAGTGCCGTCATGGTATGCAACGAGAACAAGGAGGAACCAGTAGAACATAGATGGAAGTGGGGGATC